ACCCCCCCCCCCCCTCTTCAACAAAAATATTCACCAGGGTCATACCAGGGTCTAAATATTAGTAAAATAGTAGATCGCTCTTGATGACTATAATCATTAAATTTGTCAAGATTATCATAGTTGTTCAAGCACAGAGCCACGTTGTCAAATTATTAATCCCGTGTTGAGTGCGAATTTGCTATTTTACGCACATTTACCATATTATGGTTAACGATAGGGTCAAATCGACTTTAAATTCGTGATCAGCGACCCAAAAAACTCATAGAAGCATATGTTGCACGGTGGTAAGGGTGATATTCTAATTAATGCCGCCTAGATCGGGCTCTGGAACCAATGTGCGGCGCCGCCGGCCGGTTTAATCTGAAATGTAGTTGCTGAAGCAGGTTTGACAAATGCGGGGAGAGGGAGGGAGTACGGCATTCGCACCGGCCGAGCGCATAAGCACCTATCTTCCCGTGAGTGACGTGAGGTCTGATCGAGAACGCTGAACAACGAGAGGAAAGGGACTCGGAATTCCTCAGTCATGCTGCGGCATGATAGAAAATAGTCCGGATTCAATTACGAATATCTCGGCTTCTACTCGCAAAAATGAGCTAATTCTTTGGCTTTCCCATAATTATGAACTTTATAACAATCTATTAAAGTTTCATCGACTTTCATAGAGAGCCGCTGAGCCCATGCTCTGTGCAGGGTTCTTTCTTTACATCGAGTGCGAGAGGTACATCATAATTCTTCATTGTTGCCCCCACTCCCCCCCCAGGTTCGCGCGATTTGATCTTCTGTTGCTTTATTGTCTGTTCCAGTCATACTCTCACTATAGCAGACCTCTCTCTGTAGCAGCAAAGGTGGTCGGCCCCTTGAGAGTCCGCTATAGAAAGATTGTACTGAACTTGCAGCAACTTGTGATTAAAAATAACTGACAGTTTGAGATTGAGAGAATCAATGGACTTTCAGAAAACTAGACAAAATAACTTGCAACAGAGAGATAAAGGCATTTAGTTACAAGTTTAAAAATAAATAAATTGAAAAAAATAATTAAATAAATAAATGAAAAAACGAACGTGAAGAAACTAACATATGAAAAGGCGAACTCAGTGGTGCAACAAGCATCCCGCAGACTTCGCTGAGCAGAAGATCCTGGGTGCCTGGGCTGCAAGTTGCCAAATTTAGTTCAGAGAAAAGGAATGAATATTCTATGTTAAAATGTGATGGCACCCTGGGTTATATTGGAAATTAAACTATACATACAGAGAATGAAAAGCAAACATTTTACAAATATTCCACAAATTTTATATTTTACTGGAAGAAATCGAGCAATATTTACCTTTTGATGATGAAGTCCTAGATTCTGCATTAGATTTACTAAGATTAAGATTTTGGAATGAAAACTTACCATTTTGCTGGTGGAACAAATGGAAAATGCTAATGTCAGACAGAGTTGTCTTCAGAGTATCTACGCAGATCACACTCAAATGTCCGGTTGAAACCAGATATAAAAGGAAAGACTTGCTGTTCAGATGAATATAACTGGGTAATGCCTTAAGTACAATAGGTGATATAATATGCATTCCTGTCTTAATACTGAGAAGATGGAGAGTGTCCGAGAATGCAAGAGCAACATATTTAGAATTGATAACACAGCCACAGACCGGAGAGCCTGAAAATATTTGAAAAACTGAGCAATGAAATAAGCCAGGCAAAAAACGACGTGAAGTTGAGTGAAAGAGATAGCTCTAAAAAAAATTTAAGGAGAACATGTTAGATGTCAAGCTCATGTTCATTGACAAGTTGAAGTAAACCAACGTAACAATATCTGGAAACCAATGCAACAAAACATTTTTAGATCTGCAAGTATCCTCTTGCACAGTATGGACATCTACAGTGAGAACATGAGGGTGAAAAGATCCATACCAACGATTTCAATGTAACAGTGGATAATCATTTATTTTCCTCTAATGCTATGACAACTTTTAATCAGGAGGGTGAGCCCTAAGACTGATTAAAAATGTAGTCAAATAGCATGAGACCCACTCTTCCATAAGGTCGGTTTTGTGATCCGTTCTTGAATACTCTTTTGAACTAGTGGAGCAAATGGAGGTGGTAATGTATTCTTGCAAATCCTCATACCAGTCAAATGGTAGGGATCATCATCTTCTTTTAAATATTGTAAAATGATCATTTCTGTATGTTTGTGGTCAAGCGTTACGTTCCTGCCATTCAGAGCAAAGCTCTACATTAAAAACAAGGAGGAGCAAATGGAGAGGATTCAGTTGGCGACTTAAATTTTGGGGGCCATTTTTGAATGATATCTTTTGCATCCTAGAGAGGAGAAACAAAAGGATGCCATGAGAAATTACTGAATATCCAAGAGAGCTGTATGAAATATCTTATCTCTGCGAAAGAAAAAAATTGTGCTCTTTTATTTTTAGTCTAAATGGTCCTCAGGGAAAGCAAAAAAGAAGACTGACATCTATGAGAAACCCACAAGTACAGATGCTAGTTTTGTTAGTTTTCAACTCGCCAGCACACAAGATGGCAGCCTTCAGTGACCTGCTGCTTGATGGTTCAAGCTTCATCTCGCTTTGTCTACAAGATGAAGTAGGACATAACCCTATCTGTGCTGTGTGATACATTGATTTTCGATGTCCGGTCGTGATTTTCAAGAATCAGGCTGCTGATAATGATAATGGAGAGAGTGCCCTCGGCAAATGACAAAATCGAGAAAGAAGGAGCTAGGATATTGGAAATGAGACCAAAAAAAGGACCTCTGGAAATTAATTAAAAAATAAAATACAAAACCAGATTGACACAGATGACCACCTCACAACAATTAAAGGGGGGGGGGGAAGCATTTGATGTGATAAATTACCGCTCTCCAACTTTTTCCATGAGTTCTAAAAATTGTTTAAGAAATTCGGAATTGGAGTAGCTTCCATAAATAAATATCCTTTGACAAATGCTTTCTACAGAGGCTAGAAAGGTGAAAACTCAGATTGAGAGAAGTAAGGCACATATCTGTATCCTAGAGCCAAAAGGTACCAGACTTCATTTTAGTCTTTTCGAGATATCAGGGGAAAACCGTGCATCCGTCCATAGATTCCAATTTTTGAAACTCCATAACTCTTCACCTGATCATTGTGAGATTGGGCTACAAAATTTCCCCACACACCCACAGCCGTTAATAGAGATTTCAAAAACGCCACTAACTTGATTTTTCCAAAAATATCAGTTAGGTGCCTCTTGGCTCTGGGGTACTAATATGAAATTGAATACATAAATTGTGATATTTAAGAAGACCAGACAGGAAGAGGAATCGGCAAAAGAATGAAGGCACTTCTAATGAATATTAGGGTTAATGAAGAGAGAAAACCGACGGTGGCAGCGCATTGTACAACTTCAACCAATAAAAAGAAGATGACCTTAATGAAAAGAGGAAGAACTGCTGAGATGAGTGAACAAAAGATCAGGTAGTCGTTGATAATACGCTAAGGCAAATGAAGCAAGAAGCTTCGAAACAACTGAAATAAAATAATTACACAAAACAAATCAAACTTTATGATTTGACGACTGGGACAAAGGGGCCTGTTGCAACCTTCTGCTAGAGCAAAAATAAAAGTTGTTTATTACAAAAAATGTCTCAAAAATCACAATGAGCGCATCGGCAAAATCTGAAATGCACTCCTAACTTTGCGATCTGCGTAGGAAATATGCATTTTTCTGAGCTTCCCGCTTCAAAAACGATACTACTGCGCAGGTGAACATTTCGGTAGGAATCTTTCTATCCAACCCCTGCTCAGTAGGATGCTAAGCAATATTCAACATGGGCGATGCCAATCTGCCAAAACACTTGCGACAGGACGACATTCTATCCACCTGATAACAATCGGCGTGTTTACATTCACGTTTTTCTCTCGTTGATAGATATTTACCTTGATTGACCTTGTGCTCCTCTCCACTTGCCTGCAGAAGTGTTCACAATGTTGAATATTGCAAAACCTCCTAGTGAACAAGAGTTGAATATTGCGAAACCTCCTAGTGGACAAGGGTTGAATGGAACGACTCTTCCAATGAAATGTTCACCTGCGCTTTAGTATCCTTTTTGAAGAAGGAAGATAAAAAAAAAACGCAAATTCTTATGCAGATTATGAAGTTAGGAGCAGGGATTTAGAGCTGAGGTTTGAGGGAGCATCATAAACGGAGCCGCATCGGCGCGCGAGGCGGAGGCCCGGCGCGGACTTTCATGCCGCTTCGATCAGTGCGCCGGGGGAGCGCATATGCCGTTGAGGCGGCTTCACCTGGTGAAGCCGACTCCCGGCTCCTTTTCTGATGCTGCATCAGTTTTGATGCTGAGTCCAGCATCAAAATTAGCGGCTTCAATTAGCAGACGCGTCGGACGCCAGCGCCCCGGCGTGGGCCACCGCGCCAATGGGAAACGTAAACAAAGGGGTGTTCCGCGAATTCATCGCCGAGTCCGAGGGTCGCGGTCTTCTGGGACAGCCCCGTCGGTAATTAAGCTGGGTGGCGGGTCCGAAAATTAAGGCCGTATCGGGCCGCAAGCCGACGGTCCGGCCTCAGAGGCTGAGGCCCATGAGCCAGCATCAAACCTCAGCATCAGCGCTTGAGGCTGGCTCGGTCGGCTCTCCAGCATCGGGCTTCAATGCCCGAAGCCGGCGGCCGGCAGGTTGAGCGCATCAGGCTCGGAGCCGTATGCCCGAACGGCCGCTACCTGGGCATACGGCATTGATGCTGAAGCTACGAGTTGATGCTGTACAGCATAACCTCATGAGGCGCCTCAAATGCCTGGTTAGGAGAGCATTTCGGACTTTGCCGATGCGTTCTCCGTGATTTTCGAGACATTCTCTGTAAGAAAAAACTCTTCTTTTTGCTCTAGCAAAAGTTTGCCACAGGCCCATTGCTTCCATTATTTATCATATCTGTCTCCCCTATACAAGTGATGTAAACAGAGTTGCAGCGGATACAGTAGCTTTACAGGCTACAGCCTTACTTGAGACTTCTGGTCCTACTTGATACTCTTGAGCACCTATCAATGCTTGTGGTGGCAAGCCACGCGCTTCCCCAATTAGCACCACTCATTGCCCACAGCTCGCAACAGTCGCGACTACATAAGCCGCGAGCGAGCTCAGAACCTTTGCGCACTCCACAAACGTCAGTCATACAAGACACATCGCACAGCACCTCGCGGACATCATGCAGCCGGCCAACTCGCCCTTTTCCAACAACCTTTCTTAGGGCCACCACTTGATGAGCACCTCTCATGACTTAGTCCATACGCATATTATCTGTATTTTCTAGTTGTTCCTTCCCTCAGCTCTCTTACATTTGGCAGTGCACTTGCTTTCATTTCAGTTTTACAGAAGATTTTTGATGAGGGTGCACCCATGTAGTGCACTTTGGATCAAGGCACTGCTGGAATATCTTGAATTATCCCTTTGTTGAAGGGATCCTATCATTGTGGGATGAGCAACATCCGAGCACATCGTTTGTCTTTAAATTGCTTCTGTTGAAATGCCAATTTTAATTCACCAAATGATGCATTTTTTCCCCCTGTGACTAATGCCATCTGAGTGACTACCATTGCTCGCCTGACTATGAAACTACGAATACAGAAAAAAATTTCCTTACCAAAAGCTTGCTCCCAAATGACATTATCATTGTCTTTTTGCATTTGAACTACCGTGATGGCGCCATAGAGGCTTGGACTGAAATCATTCTTTATTCTAAGCTCCTGGCCATTAGAAATCTGAAACAAAAGACATTTAACTGTAAGTTGTAAACAAATAGTCCCAAATCACCCCCAATAACTTTTCTGTTAATTGAATTGTATCAATTAGAAATTTTGGATCTTACGCCCAGAATTTCCTTTGTACAAAATAAAAAATATACTTGGATCATACTCAAATATGTGATTTTTGGAAGGGTTTCTTCTCCTTCTTTTTTTTTTTTTTTTTTTTTTTGTAAATCGGGCATCTGATGTTAGAATACAACTAATTGAGCTTTCTAAATTTTTTGATGACAAATGAAAGTTGGAAAATGTCTGTAACATTGAAATGTTTTCCATCCCTCTCTGAAAGATGTAACTTATAGTTAAGGTAATTTTTGAGGCACTTGCTTATGCTTAAAATGAAAGTCAAATGAGGGAAAAAACGTACTTCTATCCTCTCAAATGGTTGTAGCTCTAAAGATGGTAGATTCAATGACTTTGAGTTCTCTGAGATTGCAGATGAAAATTTACTAGATTGTTGATGAGGAACTGTTGCAGTTAGACTATCTGGCATTGTGGTTTTTCCATGCATAAATTTAGGTTTCTTCATCGGTGTGAGAATATTTGTCAGAGAGCCTCTTACGATTTTCTCAGCTGGTCTTTTGGAAGCTTGTTTCCCCACATTCACGGAGAGAGTCACTCCGATTGAGGAACTGAGGGCAAAAGGAAGCAAAAAATCGAGCAAACTTCAGAGATTAAAACACAAAATAAGGATAAGAACACCCTTCCTGCCAGAAAATGCTGAGGCCGAGTTTCGAAGCTTTTCAAGAACTTCCCATAACCTCTCTTTCCTCTTTTCTATTGGAAAATGCACAATTCCAAGAGCATCTGTTTTGATAAGGATAGTACTTATTTTGCAAACATTTCTATGTGAGTGAGTAAAATATTGATGATAATACTACAAGATTACATATGTTTCCATTCATCCCACATTTCCACCCCAACTGAATACACTTTCTTAATTAATTTTTCTAGATATGTCTCTGAAAAATCTGCCAGAAAATTTTCTTGAATTAAGGAGTAAAAAAAAAAATCTAAACAAAATTGTTTAATATAACAATGTTGTGTCATACTTCAAAAAAGGCAACTATCACAGAAAATCTGCAACAAAGCAAAACCAGAATAGGTTGTTTAATGGTTTCACCATCAAAATAAGGTTTCTTTATGGAGCATTTTTCTAATGATCTAAGAACATTAGTAACCGCAAGGAACCAACATGAAGATCAGTTTTCTCTTTAAAACAAGAGACATGGTTCTAACGGCTGCAATGTATCGGAGAGCAACGACAAAAGCTGACAACACTAAAAGGACAGGAGAGATTCTAGGAAATAACAAAGCTCTTCCATTGTCTTCCTTTTTTAGGGAAAGCTAAAGCTCCGACCAATCAGCAATTTGGGCCCTGTCATTGGGATCACACAACCCCTGTCACCTGCTGACAACCTTCTTGAGACAGACAATAGTTTTCCCTAATTGCTGTCTCTTTTAATCCTTGTCATCTAGAAGTTACAGCTAAGAGGACACGGTTCATTTTAAAAAATTTTAATTTTTCTGAAGACCACCCGCGATTATTTTTGACAAAAGTGTCAAGAAAGGTCTCTAGATTGAGGAATTCAAAACCGCAAAATCGTAAGTGGGGCTGTTTCTTTTTTTTATTTTCGACTTTTTCTATTTTTAAGGGTAAAATGGTGGCAAAAGCCAATGTGTGACCACCGAAACCCACCGCCATCTGGTCAAATGAAGTTAAAATTCTATGTATGTTAGTCGTTGACATGTAAATGGGTGTCCTCAAAAGTTTCAAACCCTCCCTCAAAGAATTGCATCCCCTCATGCAGTGTTGCCAAGTTACTTATCCGATAATGACGCGGCTGACGGGGCAATGTAGATTTGAATTGGGATCATAACCAAAAATCATGAAAACACTGACCGTTATACACTGTGTGGATAATTTTAGATCCAATTCGATAAAAGCGTCCGCAGTTGCCATATTTCCGTTTTTTAAAATTGCAAAATTCGGCCAGAAAATGTCAATTTTTTTATTTGATTAAAACCAGTAAATCACTATTTTTCAGCGACATTCTCAAATTACGGAGATTTAATTCCTTTTAAAGCAAATTCAAGATTCATTAATGAAAAAGGTACTTTTCGTCCTGTATGCAGGTTTGCCAAAAACTTTTAAGCAGCAACAAAAATGCCCTCTGCATGGAGATAGATGAATCTTGGGCGGTCTAAAATTGACATGGGTGTACTCTTTTTACATACTAAATTAGACTAGCTGCTCCGGGCGCCCTCCACAGCTAGCAATGGTGGTGCAGAAGCTTATTTGGAATCGGAGCAATTAGTTGAATCTATTTAATAATGATGATGATTCTGTGGCAGAAGATGAATGAAATTAACTGCCTCGCTGCAATACAGGGTGGAGACTGACATTCTACCAAAAAATGTGATAAAAAGCCCTCATTATCATTTTTTTTTTTTTAATTTTTTAATACTTTTCTACTGACTATGACAGTTTACTTTAAATGAAATGAAGTGTATTTGTCACGTTAGTGAAGCAGATTATCAGGTTTTTTTTATGTTATTTTTGTAATTTTTTAGTTTTATTTTTTAATAATTTTTTATGACTATTGAAATGTAATTTAAATGAAATGAAGTGTGTGAAAAGAGGAAGAGGAATTGAATACTTGCGAACAATAAAGTAAAAACATGAATTCTTTTAGGCCTTTGGGATTTATAAAAGATCAAAGCACCTCTTTGAACACGATATTTTTTTTACGGTTGCCTTTGGGAAGAGTTTGTGCTTTAACATTTTTGTATGAAGTAGCTCGTGGGAGTGCAACATACCGACAGTGTAAGTCGGCAATCACATAACCCGGTTTGCGACGTCGCAGACTTCCTGTCATACTTTATTTTCTAAACGGAAAACTACTCAACAGCAATTCTTTAAAACTGCCATGATTTTTCTTCTCAGTGCGAAGAAAAGTCTGCAAAAACTTCATGGAATAACGTCAATTTATTCTCCTTTAAAAGAAATAACATAGAGGTGGAGATTTTGAGACACCGCAAACGAGTTATGTGATTGCCGACTTACACCGTCGATATAGTTGACCATGGCTATAAAATGGTTGGGGTTAATAAATGCCGACTCGTTTCAGTGTTTGACCCTGAGCTTTGTTGATGGTCATGCAGGACGCAATGCGAATTGGAAATTGTCGCCTCTTAAAAGAGAAAGGGAGAGAGGAGTCTGCAGGTGACAAATCAATTCTTCGCAGTAAAATTCTTTCACCAGTCTCCTCGCCGGAAATGACCTGCACATCAAGACAATTTTCATAAAGTTTCCGGACTATCAATCGGGTACCATTCGATAAACCTTCAGAAACGTTGAGATTTCTTAAAAGCATGACAATAACCCCCTCCTTAAGTGTGAGTTTATGCGGTGGTAAGCCACTAAGACCAAGACTGTCCAAGAATTAGAGGGAAAAATTGAGAGCCTCCCTCTATATCTCTGCAATGAGCCTGTTAACACTACAGTGCGTTTTAGAGTCACCTGGAAGAAGTTCAACAACCTTGTCGTTAATTTAATTGCAATGCTCATTTTTAGGGGCAAGAATTGCGCAGTTTGTGAAATCTACGTTCGCGAACATGAGGAAGCTATATCTTTTCCATAAATTTCAGTAATAATATCAGTTTCGGTAATAATGCTTGTCGGTAAATCAATGAATTACGGCATGTCCTAGTCAGCAGAGGGGTAAACACCATCACCTATTCCGAGTAAAAATTTTGCAAACTCCACCTCGTCTGGCAATTTTGCAAATTTGAAACAAAATTAGAAAGAGAAAAGAACATATAAAAATGAAATGTCCACAACAATACGTGTTGTTAGCAATACGTGTGCACACCTACACTGCTGCAGCTAACAAGTCAGGGTCAGTCAAGCCGCCAGGATGCTTATCAAGAGGTGGTGAAGGGGAGCAGCCGAGAGAATGCAAGGGAATGTGGGTGGCAAGTGACAAACAACAATGCGACCCAAACTTCCTCCTTTACGGTTAGGGGGAGGAGAGCTAGACGAAAGAAAACGGCGTTAGCCAAGGGAACGTGGCAGAGGGATGGCTGAAAGCGTAGAGGGGGGGGGGGGTTACGTAGCGACAGGCAAGCAGGTAGCGGCCGGAGGACCGCTTAAAACAGCTGAATTTTACTCGTCGATAAAAGTAAGAAAATTTGAGACAATCTAAAAAACAATTACAGCCTGCAAATCTGCAGATCAGAAGCTTTCATTTAAAAAAAACCCATACAAATCAGTCTGGTGGTTCTCTCGAAGTTAACGTCCAAAGAGTCGGACCTCAGTTTTTATATATAGGAAAATATTCAAGAAAATTATAGGAGAAAATTTGAGAAAATCGAAAAACAAATTACAGCCTGCAAATCTACAGCTCAGGGGCTTTCATTTAAAAAAAAGATCACGCAAATCGGTCTGGTGGTTCTCTCAAAGTTAACGTCCAAAGATTTGGAACTTTGCGTTTTAATATATAGGATAGGAGTTATCTTTTCTTCTCTTCGCAAAATGTAAGTGAAAAATTGTTCAAATTTTACTTTTTGATTCCGAAGCAAATTCTGAGAACCTCAAAAAATCGCTCGCACACTTAATACACAGGAATGAACACCCTAACCTATCTCGGTCATGAACCTCTAAACTTCATTTCCCAAACTACGATATTTTTGCTGTTACTTTCAATTTTTCAAAATCTGGAACAATTAGATAAAACACGCTTTTATCATTTGTGAACCTTGAAGTTTTTTCTCTTTAAAGTTGGACTTTAAGAGATTGGGGCTTCAATTCTTTGCGAACATCAGTAAAATCTCTGAACGGTTCGTGTTTACTACTTACTCGCAATTTAAAAACTATTTTTCCTAATTTTTCTTTGGATAATAAGGAGGGGGGGGGGGGTCCAAATGTTATGCTTTCAGTCAGGAACAATAACATCGGAAATTATTTTCGAACAAAATCTGCTCGTCGCTTTATGTGTACTTACTTTCATAGATCAGCTGCGTTCCCTAATAGAAGTTCAGTGACTTTGACAATGTCTCATTGTACGTAAAAATTCTTCAGTTAATAGTCTATCAATTGATAATATCGCTGAAAAATAAGGATTTACTAGTTTTAATCAAATAAAAAAATTGACATTTTCTGGCCGAATTTTGCAATTTTAAAAAACGGAAATATGGCAACTGCGGACGCTTTTATCGAATTGGATCTAAAATTATCCACACAGTGTATAACGGTCAGTGTTTTCATGATTTTTGGTTATGATCCCAATTCAAATCTACATTGCCCCGTCAGCCGCGTCATTATCGGATACGTAACTTGGCAACACTGCATGAGGGGATGCAATTCTTTGAGGGAGGGTTTGAAACTTTTGAGGACACCCATTTACATGTCAACGACTAACACACATAGAATTTTAACTTCATTTGACCAGATGGCGGTGGGTTTCGGTGGTCACACATTGGCTTTTGCCGCCATTTTACCCTTAAAAATAGAAAAAGTCGAAAATAAAAAAAAGAAACAGCCCCACTTACGATTTTGCGGTTTTGAATTCCTCAATCTAGAGACCTTTCTTGACACTTTTATCAAAAAAAATCGCGGGTGGTCTTCAGAAAAATTAAAATTTTTTAAAATAAACCGTGAGGAGACATACAAAAGATATGGTTTCAGACTTTGACGTACTAAGTTGTTAGTTTGTTTGGAGGCACATTTGTATTTTCCACCAATGGTTCACTGTTGCTATTGCTTGGAGTTACATTGGGTTTCACAACTATATCTTCCCGCTTTTCGACTATAATTTTACTCTTGGCCTCTGAAGAACTGGAGAACTGAACATTGTCGCTGCAGAAAGGTGCAGGAGCCTCTCCAGTGTCTGGTGCGGCTGGAATGAAGATAGGTGTTATTCTCCGCCTTCCATCAGACGTTCTTGTTTCGATCTGTTTGTTTGTTGGTATCAATTTTACAGAGGCTGAAGCATTGCAGTTAGATATAGATACTTGTGGTTTCTCTGAAGTATGTTCTGAGGCACTATTGTTCACTTGGGCAGTGTCGCCCTTTTTAGATGTCCTGTTTTCGATGGCTGCAAGGATCTCTGGGTTCTCAATGATTAGGGAGGAGTTGCGCTGTTTATTGAGAAGCGAAGTCCCATAGATTTTCTCGAAGGCTGCATTCTGAAACAAAAGTCAGAAATTGCTTTCGGTCAAATTCAACCATGCATTAATATTGAGCTGACAGAAAACTGAGAGAGAAACGTCACTAGGTTCTTGAAAAACAAAACAAATGCTTACTTTATTATAAAAGCAACCTCGCTACTATACGCCAGCGAAATATGGGCACTAAGGTATATTAATCAGTTGGAAACAGCGCAACGTAAATTCCTCAAAGGAACCCTTCAATTACAGAAATGCACCCCGCACTACATCATCAGAGCAGAAGCGAATGTTGAGAAACTAGAAACCAGGGTGATTGCTCGTGCACTAATTTGGCTACTTAAAATCGGAAACATGCCCAAAACCAGGTATCCAAAATTATGCCTAGATAAACTAATTGAACTAGATAAAAGTAGGATGAACAACATCAAACACAATTGGGTAACTCAATTGAAACTGATACTTGGTACAGCAAACAATCAAGCACTGCTAAATGAAGATCTGAGTCTCGCAGAAACTAAAATAAAAGCAGCTACTATTCTTGCCAACCTTAGGATTAAATTAATAAATGACGACTTAAGTAAGATTGAAAACTCATCCTTTACCCCACTCTACAAACAAATAAGTACTTCAAATAGTCATGCCGAACAACAGGCTAACTACTTGAATTATCGTATAAATTTCAAACAGAAAAGAGTTTTTAGCCAGCTGAGAACACACAATGAAAAGTATCTCAAAATTGGAATAAATCAGTGTTGGTACAAAGTAAACATTAAAGAACAGTGCTCTATCTGCAATCTATGCCGTCTGGAAAAACTAGAACATATCCTCTTTAAATGTCCAATGTACACATATCCTCTTTAAATGTCCAATGTACACTAGCGTTGGGAACTTCTATTTTAAAAATGTACCAAGTTCAATGTCAATCCTAAAAAAATCAGCAAAAATTGAGCCCATTTCCGCACTATATATGTTTTTGTCATCAGCGGTGAAAATTAGATCTTTTATCCTAAACGAGTAGAAAGAGTAGACGAGTAGACCCTATATTCTTACACTTTTACACTTTTATACTTTTATACCTGGCTTATGATGCTTTTGTTTTTGTTTTTTAATGAACCTTATATAATTGTCAAGAACCTCTTTTTATAAACCCGTTATTTTGGGTAAAATAAAATACTATTCTATTCTATTCTATTCTTATTATAAAAGCTGGGAAAACGAGAGGACATTGAGTGAATCTTGGATGGGACAGAAATGTGATATCACAGTTTCTCTGTAAATCAAATCTTTCAAAATGAGTAAACAAAAGGACCATTGTATTCCAATTGTTCTTGTATCTTTACAAGAGATGAGTGGACAGGGAAGGGGGGGGGGGTAAGCTGCACCTAAATCTACATGGTTATCCAAAAGTCACCTACCACCCCTCTAACTTTTTTCCTAATCGAGATAGAAGTTTGAAACTATGGGAATGTTCTTCGGTCTAAGGTAGCAACTTTTCAGTCCCCCCAAAATTCTGGGGGGCGGCTCCCACTAAAGGGGTCGGGGGCAAACTTTTTGTTTTCAAAAGGCTACCATCCTTTTGTGATACTTCATTCGAAAGATAATAAAAAAAGAACATTTTTTGCGCAAACCGCAGGTCAAAATGTTGATTTTTGACAAAATGGCGGCTGGTCAAAGTTCAAAATGCTGGATAATTGGCATCTCCGTCTTACATCGGCGGATTGGTCTGAAACGCAGGGTTTTTCGTGACGAGACAAACGACTCTGACATCAGTTTTCCAGAAATGTCAGTTCTATTCAAAATGGCGGCGGTTAAAATGGCGGCTTAGAGCGGGAAGTGGATATTTAGGCTGCTTATCGTCGGATTTGTATGGACTTGGTATCCGGGGGTATTTGGGCACGAAAAGAACGAATCTTTCATTGGGTTTTTGAAATTTTTAAAAGCTTTAAAATCGCGGCGAAAATATGACAGAAAATCCACATCACGGCTGTTTACCGATGGATTTGCACAAAAGTCAATGGCGATGTTGCATGCGTGAGGAATTTGCGATTTGACTGTTGATTCTTATGTAAAAGTTCGCGAGAAACAGGATGGTGCCACTGGTTTTCTCTGAAATAAACTCCCAAGCTCAAAAAAAGCTCTTAAGTTGAGGCCAAAATGGAGGGAATATCCCACCCTACCCTGAGAGTCCACCTCTACATCAAGACAAATTATCCATGCAAAGATAGGGAGCAAATACATTGACAGGACTGCCAATTTACTTGGGTACTCCAAAACTGAAAACACGGCAACCCTGCTAATGTATTTGCTCCCTATCTTTGCATGGAGAGTTATTGTCTTGATGTAGACGTGGACTCTCGGGGTAGGGTGGGATATCCCCTCCATTTTGGCCTCAACTTGAGAGCTTTTTTAGAGCTTGGGAGTTGATTTCAGAGGAAACCAGTGACACCATCGTGTTTCTCGCGAACTTTTATAAAAGAATCAACAGTCAAATCGCAAATTCCTCACACATGCAACATCTCCATATTCTGGGGGTTTTTGGCTCGAAAAGAATTAATACTTTATTAGATTTTTGAAACACTGCATGTCGTCAAAATGGTGGCGGAAAAATAACGGAAAATCCGCATCCACCATCGCCATTCGCATTTTTGCCGCCATTTTAAAGTTTTTAAAAATTTCAAAAACCCAATGAAAGATTCGCTCTTTTCGTGCCCAAATACCCCCGGATACCAAGTCTCATACAAATCCGACGATGAGCAGCCTAAATATCCACTTCCCGCTCTAAGCCGTCATTTTAACCGCCGCCATTTTGAAAAGAACTGACATTTCTGGAAAACTAATCCCAGAATCGTATTTCTCGTCCCGAAAAACCCAAGGATTCTTCCCCAAGGAGCTTCCCAAGTGTAACCGGAATTTCGAGTTGAAATTTCGCATGAAGATACTAGAGATGATTTTAGGGATGCCGTATTTTTTCGTTTTTTCGAATGGGGTCGGGAAAGCCCTCAAAAAAAGGGCTAAAGATGCGGAAAAAACGCGTGCACTAGCGGCACAAGGTAAACGTAGGTGATAGAGGCTCTCCATCCTTATCAGTACCGCATGGCCAAACGGTAGCGTGCTCGCCTCGCAGGCGGGAGGTCGTAGGTTCGGATCCTGACTACAGCCCGCAATTTTATTTTATTTTATGCTTCTTTATTTTTCTTTTACTTTATTTTGCACCATTCTCTCCGCAAACCGACTTACGAGGTAGAACACGTAGTGACTGAAGATTTTTACATATCTATGCTGATAAAAACTTGAAGTTTCTCTTGGATTGAAACGTTATACGAGGTCTGTTAGATTAGAAACCGGATTTTGGTCATAACTAGCCCACAATGCGTCCAAATTACGTTTTCTTGAGCTTTTCTGATAGCTGGAAATATACTTAAGAACGCTACGTTCACAAGTTTGAAAAATCCTAATGAGCTTTGTTGGTATGTGGCTTGAAGTAAGGCAACCTCAAGGGTGTTTTGCGATTTTTATGTTTCACCGAACTTGTCTTTCTTTTTTCGGTCTTGCACTACATTTTTCAATCCACAAGGACGATTGGAGTTTAGCCTCCATATCGTAGCCGTACACTAAAATATTGTCACCGAAAATTATCCTATCCAAAAATGTAGGATCACTGTTAGAACGTTCAAGCAGCTAAAGGGAAATTGACATTTGGTTGGATTTTCGTTCAACGGACAACAATCGAGGGGCAAGTGTACCTGAAACTCGATGCGTGTCTACATATTCTATCAAAATTGTATGTACAGAGCCTTCAGAAATATTACTCTGTTCAACAAGCTCGAAACGACCGTTTTCGAGCACTTTTGCCCGCATTTCTTCCACGTGACAAATGTCAGTTGCCGTTGAGGGTCGATTCCCATGTTCCTCATCTTTGATGAACTCCTGACCAGTTTTGAATCGTTTAACTCATTCAAAACAGTGGGAACATCTCATACAATGATCATGGTAAACTTTAATTAGCGCATACCAAAGGTTTCGGTACAAGGTATACCGAGTTTAAAACAAAATTTAATGTTGAATCTTTGTTCTATCAGTGATCGCATGATGAAAATCGCAAAACGCACCTGACTTACTCGTATTCAAGATGACACTGAATAAACACTGATCAAAGTAAACAAAATCTGTGAACGTAGCGTTCCTAAGTATATTTCCAGCTATCAGAAAAGCTCAAGAAAACGTAATTTGGACGCATTGTGGGCTAGTTATGACCAAAATCCGGATTCTAATCTAACAGACCTCGTATATGGTTGAATAAACAAAAACTCTAAAATTCACCAAATTTCGTCGCCAAGCTGAATTTTCGAAGTATCAGTCGAATCTGTATCTGTATCTGACTGATACTCCGGAAATTCAGTTTGGCAACGAAATTTGGTGAGTTTTAGAGTGTTTTGTTTATTCAATTATATATAACGTTTCAATCCGAGGAAACTTCTAGTTTTTATCAGCATTTGTAAAAAATCTTCAGTCACTACGTGTTCTACCTCGTAAGTCGGTTTGCGGAGAGAATGGTGCAAAATGAAGTAAGTGAAAAATAAACAAGCATAAAGTAAAATAAAATTACGGGCTGTAGTCAGGATCCGATCCTTCGACCTCCCGCCTGCGAGGCGAGCACGCTACCGTTTGGCCATGAGGTACTGATAAGGATGAAGAGCCTCTATCACCTACGTTTACCTTGTGCCGCTAGCGCACGCGTTTTTTCCGCATCTTAAGCCCTTTTTTTGAGGGCTTTCCCGACCCCATTCGAAAAAACAAAAAAATACGGCATCCCTAAAATCATCTCTAGTATCTTCATGCGAAATTTCAACTCGAAATTCCGGTTACACTTGGAAAGCTCCCCTTGTTAGTTTCAGACCAATCCGCCGATAAAAAACGGAGATGCCAAATTTCCGCCATTTTTTCAAAAATCAACATTTTGACCTGCAGTTTGCGCCAAATATTTTATTTTTTTATTATCTTTCAAATGAGGTATCACAAAAGGGGGGTTGCCATTTGAAAAAAAAAGTTAGCCCCCGCCCCCCTTAAGGGGGGCCGCCCCGCAAAATTTTGGGGGGACCAAAAAGTTGCTACTTTAGACCGAGGAACATTTCCAAAGTTTCAAACTTCTATCTGGATTAGGAAAAAAGTTACAGGGGTGGTCTTTTGGATAACCCTGTAAATGACAGTTTTAGGGCAGGTGCCCCTATAAAGGCCTCTCCTCTTTCCGTGCAACATCCTCGACATTAAGATAGAAAGTAGAAAAATCGGAAAAGAAGAATTTCCTGGCAAGTCAGAATTGGCAACAATGTAATTTCGTTGTTTATTTTTGAGAAGAGTGAAGATATTGGGTCTAAACCGGTCAGAATAAAAGGTCAGAGCCGAGAATAAATATTGATCCGTTCATTTGGAGCTACTGACAGGCAAAAAATAAGCGAAAAGTATGATTGATAAACAAGGCACATTTTTGTGAAACCAGATTTTGGTTTTGTGTCCATGTGCTTGTTCAATAATTTTTCATTCTTGCATTTTAAGAAAGTAGAGAGTGCATTTAATTTACAGGAATTTTCCCGGATTTTTTAAGGATATTACAGCAAAAAGAAAAAAAGACACATCACCGAGAAAGGCAAGATGACGTCCGATCTTTATGGATCCTGCATTGTCTTCCTTGGCAATGTACGTTTGAATGAAAGTTCAAATCATGCAACTTTCCACTCGTTTTTCGTGCCTTGATAAAAACTGAGGAAAAATTCATGTGAGCTAAATGAATCAGCTCCTGCGAAAACCGCTAATGTCCATTTTTTTCAATTTTGAGATTTTTGGGTTAAGATACTCTCGGAGGTCAGACACACTCATTAATGTAGTGAAAATGTTTGTTCCTTAGGTTTGAAGCCCTTTTCAGGGGGGGGGGGGCGTGGTCCGAATCATGCGAAAACCGCTAATGTCCATCTTTCGTTATGTGCCTCATTATACTGTGCAACAAACCAAAATAAAAAAATGTCTCCTGGACGACACTAGGTGATCTAAATGCATTTTAAGGCGCCGAATCCGAATATGACCTCCGTTTTTTCCATCACCCTCCAATTTTCCGGAAAAGCCGATTTTACTCGGAAAAATGACCATTTTTGGGCATTTTCGGTGCTTTTCCGATTGTTATCCCCTGCAGTATGTAGGTAAAATTTTTCGTAGGTACGAGATTCAATTACGCCGATGTCTTTTTAACTGATGAGTCCGGAAATGACCTTGATTTTTCCCGTTCACAACTCAGTTTTCCGGGAAAGCAACTTTTTCCCGGGAAAATGAGCAAATCCGACGTGTATTTGTCGTGCGTGGAATTTATTTTTACAAATTGTCCTGAACCTGTGGTAGTATGTTACTTATGTATTTTGAGCTGCTAAATCCGAATATGACCTCGGTTTCCTTCTATCACACTTCAGATTTCCGGTAAAGCCGAGTTTTCCGAGCCTAAAATTGAGTATTGTAAAAGCTTTGTCGGATCGAAGTGTACCTATTCAAAATTCATTGTATAAATGTCTTCGATATGTGATACAGCGATTCCTTTGTATATTGATCTGTTGAATTCAAATATGATCTCAGATTTTTCCGATCACCCACCATTTTTCCGGAAAAGTCGGTTTTCCTAAGAAAACGCTCTTTTCAGATATTTTTGCGATGATTTTTCTGCTTTAAGGAGTTTTAGAAATTTTCCGAGATCCTCTTTAGGTCACTCTTGCTGTATTAAGAGGCACTGAACTCGAATTTGACCTTCACTCATCTTTGACAACCCCCCCGTTTACTAGAAGGTCCGATTTTTCCGGGTCAAAAGCTTTTCCGGACTGTTCCCACTTCCAGGGAAATTCAAAACATTTTCCGCATGTGTGATACATCGATTCTCATGTAATTTGAGCTGAAAAACCCGAATATCACCTTAGATATTTGTTATCACCACCAGAAAATAACTCCTTAGAGCAGAAAAATCATCGCAAAAATATCTGAAAAGAGCGTTTTCTTAGGAAAACCGACTTGTCCGGAAAAATGATGGGTGATCGGAAAAATCTGAGATCATATTTGAATTCAACAGATCAAAATACAAAGGAATCGCTGTATCACATATCGGAGACATTTATACAATGAATTTTGAATAGGTACACTTCGATCCGACAAAGCTTTTACAATACTCAAATTTTAGGCTCGGAAAACTCGGCTTTACCGGAAATCTGAAGTGTGATAGAAAGAAACCGAGGTCATATTCGGATTTAGCAGCTCAAAATACAAAAATAACATACTGCCACAGGTCCAGGACAATTTGTAAAAATAAATTCCACGCACGACAAATACACGTCGGATTTGCTCATTTTCCCGGGAAAAAGTTGCTTTCCCGGAAAACTGAGTTGTGAACGGGAAAAATCAAGGTCATTTCCGGACTCATCAGTTAAAAAGACATCGGCGTAATTGAATCTCGTACCTACGAAAAATTTTACCTACATACTGCAGGGGATAACAATCGGAAAAGCACCGAAAATGCCCAAAAATGGTCATTTTTCCGAGTAAAATCGGCTTTTCCGGAAAATTGGAGGGTGATGGAAAAAAACGGAGGTCATATTCGGATTCAGCGCCTTAAAATACGTAAGGAAAACCTTTGAATTGCCCGAAAGGCATACTGAAAAATATGCGTTTTCGATGTTTTAGAACCGTCCACGCACAAATCATGCGAAAACCGCTAATGTCCAGTTTATTGCTGTGAGTTTTGTGATGAAACTTATTTTAAGTACCGCAATTGTCCGGAATTTTATTTTTTTAACTTTATGTGAATGATAATCTACCACTTTAACATCTTTAGAATGAATTTTGAAAATATCAAACGGCTCCAAAACTCGGCGATTTTTACGTATCATGCGAAAACCGCTAATGTCTAGAGTCCTTTCTTTTTAATTACTCCATCCCAGACAGAGGAGGAGCTGGAAACTGTTAGGGATCCTTTTCTACAATCCACTCTTGCAATAATCAACTTCTGGACATTTTTTAATCCTGCATTTGAAAGGCTTCTACACTTTTATGCAGTTTACTCAAAATAAAAGAAAATGGACATTAGCGGTTTTCGCATGAGCCGATTCAAATGCACTCTCTACTTTTCAAAAATGCAAGAATTGAAAATTACTGAACAAGTTCAAAGGGTGCGTTTGTTTTCATCAATGGTCAATCTGGTCCACAATGATTCTGACTTTTGTTTTCAACCCGGGAGTTTATCTGTCTGGTTTGAAGTGACTTTTGATGCTACTCTGATACTCACATGAGTTGATGGTGAAATTTTTCTCCATGAATATTTGGATGATGTTCAACAATAAAGAATTATCATTTTGGGCTCCCTACCACACAGACACCTATCCTATCTGCCCAGAGAAACTAAAAGCTCATACATTGTTTCTAAAGTGAGTCAAAAATAGTAGTTTCTCATTGCCCCATTGACAGATAATACCTTGAGTTGCTTAAAATCTTCTGCATCTAGTGGTTCCTTGTGCCAAGCTAGGGAAAAATGCTGTACGAACATTCAAAAGTAAACAGATTTCTTGTGATAAGGTACTTGTTTATAAGAAAAGTTAAGGATAGCTTTCTTTGCAATTTTTTAAAATTTTGGATTCAATTGCCAACAAAATCCTTAGATATACTGGAAGATTCAATATATTCCCAAATTTCCCTGAAAACTCATACTTTGTCAAAAGAAATTAGGCAACATCAGGAGACTCATTTAGCGTTCTCCCAGAAGCACAATGGGTCAGTTAAGTCATTTTTATTATTGTGTCATTCAAAAGTAGTAAGTGACGGGAGCTTACAGTTTTTTTCCTAAATTTTTTTGATGACTGCAAACGGGAGAAAAGTTTATTCGAAAGAGCCAAAAATTAGGGTGGCCTAAAACGGCGTTTGAACTGCGCGCTCGTAGGTCTCGAATGTACACGTCACGATCAATATGGCGGCGGAATGCGTAGTAGAAGAATACACGGCGGCGTCGCGTTGGCGATATGTATTCGTTGGTCAATTGGAGGTTATGTAGGTTACTTTGTTTGAGATTCATATCCATTGTTCTTAATTCTCTAAGCTTTTCAATCAGAATGCGATACAGATGTATGTAGGATATGAAACATTCACACAGAACTTACTTAACCTCAAACGAGAAATCGTGATGTCAATATCGGCAGCGTGGCGGTAGAAAGCAGGTCGGCTTCGGCGCCGCCATCTTCCCGTCTATGACGCGTATACATTCGAAGATTTATGGCGGTCAGTTCAAACACGTTTTCGAGGACCCCTAAAAAGGAAGCGTTATATCTCCGCGGAGACAATTCTTTGTGAAATTTTAACATGCGCATCGTTCTTCTCATACCAAAAACTGAAAGATCTGACTATTTGCAGGCAAATCCCTCCCCAGCTTAACTGACTCATTGTATTGCAAAGTTATATTACTGTCCATATCTCCAAAGAAAACTTACAACATGTATGCACTCTTCAAGCTGTGTGACAATAACTGAAATAGTAAGAATAACATGAAGTATGACAAGAGCAACATTTTTGTGCAAACCTTATCTTCAAGTGACATTGCTTTCCCAAGCTCCTTTTCGGTGAATTCAAAGTAAGCAACAGTGCCATCAAGAGAGCAAGCCATCAGACTCAGACCTGATGAAGACCAGGTAATGTCGAGAACTGGAGCAGCAAAGAGATCTTGAATCACGACTAGTGGTCTTTTCAGGGAAGTAAGCCAAACAGACACTGACTTATCTCGAGATCCTACTGCACATGCACATGCATATGCCTGTTGTGATTTCTTGCTACTTTCCACTAGTTTTTTGACCATGACGCTGCTAAATCTCTAAGTGTGATAAAGAAAAATTAAAAAATGTAAGGGACTGAACAAAACATTAGCTTTGACATGGTATTACAGACCACCTGTGCCCACCTTCCTCCTCACAATCAGTTATTTTTAATCTGACAAAGTTGGAAACTGCGAAAATGAATGGGACATTGATGTCTAAGAATTCAAACTTCATCATCCGAGGGCTCTCCTGGCTCCCTTTGAGACCAAAAAAGTGGATCCAGACTTTGAAAATGGGAGTTCCCATCAAAACTTCAGAATGATTTAAAATCAGAAGTACAGAAAATTTCTGTTTTTACTGGTAACTACTACAGGATCCAAAACTTCAGTTCGGGTGGAGTAAGTGGATTAATTTTGAACTCTTTCAGTTGATCTTTTGACATTTTTAGTATATCTAACGTTTTTTCATGGAAGGAACATATCACGAAAATAATAAGAAAAGGAAGTCATTCTCAAATGTCAAAATGGCAATTGGACGCATGATGAATCTTTTCTATTTCAACCTATTCTTGTTTTTGACATTTCCTAACGAATGCGAACTAATTAAGGAAGTTATGGCTGCAGCTGTCTGAAGTTCTTATTTTTAGTGCCACCAAAATGTGCTATGTTTGAAGGTTATAAGACAGAGGCCCGGGGAACAAAGTTTCATCTTTTAAAAAACTACAGGAAGAAGGAAAATGTTAAAACACCATAATCAATTTACAGGGTTTTTGGTTTCACTAACAATAAATGTTAATTTTGAACTCTTACCACACAAGTGACAGCCTTGCGATGACCAACGTAGTCCATATCACTTTTCCATCCATCTCTTTCAATGATCTGTGCTGTTGGACCGCCATTATTCATAGCATGTGCGGAGACTAAATACTGGCCATCAGGTGACCAACTGGGTCTCAGGCAAAGAGTTGTGCCGGAACACTATACACAACAACGAACTTTGTCATTAAAATTGGGAGGGACCATTTATGCCAAACAAAATCGTACTGATTCAGGCTGGAATGGCTCGTCAAGAATTGGCTGCAAAATGAGCTTGTTTAGAATTTTTTTTTTTATTTCATTCATTTTTGGAAAGTAGAGTGTGCACTGATTTGAAAGGAATTTTCCCAAATTTTTTTGGACAATACTAAATGATAAACAGGCTCGTTAGTCTCTCAGTGCACTCTGCAGGTGTACACGAAGGTACCTCTTTGAGGTTCAATTATCCCTATGAACTCAAACTTGGTCAATCTACAAGCGAAAAACACCATAAAATTAAAGCAGATTTAAAGCTGAAAAATTGGGGGGGGGGAAGGGGGGCTCTCATACCCCACAGATGCATTCCTAAAACGTGCCATGCTTTACCTTGAGATTCATATATATTTAAGTACGATAAAAAAAAGTCTGTGTTGAGGAATGGACCCAAGTCAAAACTTTTTCTTTAATGACCAAAACAAAATATTATGTAAAAGTTAGCTCGAAACAAAGAGACAAGCATGATGGGCACATTCTGTCTTGTTTGCCAAACTGTTGCTCTGTTAACTGCTAAGTTGCTCCACCGACTGACTCGAAGATTACTCCAAAAACTTCAAGTAACCTGCAAAATTTTTCGAAGGTTTTTAAAATCAGTCATTGGTCGATGTATTCAACGAATATGTGTAGCTTTATCTGTCAAAAAAAAAACGACAACAAAAAAGAGTGGTTGCACGGGCCATCACAATCATCCACATCATGTGGGCCATGACACGCTTGATAGAAAACTTCGCCATACAAAAGCAGCATTTTAAAATTAAAAAGGATGGTTGGTTTTCAAACCTCTTTGAAAGGCTCCTCAATGACAGCTTCTTGCTGCCAATCAATCGTCCTCCAAATTCTTAAACTTTTATCATCAGATTGAGAAGACAAATACTTGCCCACTGGATCCCAAGTAACTCCTTTCACTAGTCCAGTGTGACCTTTTAAAATTGTGACCATTTCTGAGGAACAGACAGAAAAAACAAACGGACACAGCTTAATCAGGAGCAGACTGGCATGCTGTTTATTGTTTTCCTCTCCGTAACATTGAAACTGCTCTGTGCTTGGTTGTAGATAAAAATCTTGTTTCAAATAATATGATAATCTTTTAACAGCTGAGATTAGTTGTCAGGAGTTACTAAGACTGAAGAACAGGACCATAGAAGAAATTAAATCATTAATTTCTAGAGACACTTTTATGAGAACTTAAAGGGGGTGCATAAATTATTTTAATGAAGGTTGTTTCCAGACTTAAGCAGACCTCACAGAATGGTCAAAGAGCACGATTTTGTACAAGTTGCGGTGATTTTTTGCCATATTTATTCAATAAGCTAATTATGCAAGCAGAATATTTTACAAGCCAAAAGTAAGTTCACTTTATGGCTGTACGTTGTTTGACCAATATTTTTACATGCTCCAATCACTGCATGTTTTTTGGCAAAGCACCGGTTGGGTGGCTAGCATCTTGGTTGAGGAGAGTATGGAGTGGAAAAAATCAGTCCTGTCATCAGATTGCCACCAGTTTTACTCTTATGGGCATCTTATGGGCTCTTATGGTTATTTGCTTTGCATGAGGTGAACGTAGCTGAACAATCCCGATTTGAAGCTCGTTCACCCTACGGTGCCATGAATTGCAAAAAGCTTTACTTCAGTGAGAGACTAGTTCCTATCATGCCTCACGCTCTCTACCATAAGTCGCCGAACAAATCTTATCATTGGCCATGTTTTTTTGACAAAGCAGTGCTTTGCCAAAAACAACATAGTATACCTGGAAAAGTAGAAATATTGGTCCAAGTATTTTGCATCAGTTGGAAAAAATAAATTTCGCGGTAGAACACTACAGTACCTTTTTTCTGGGGAGAGGGTAGATAATTAACCCTTGCAAACATCTTAAAACATTGAAAAACACGAAATACACACAGTTGAAAGTCTGAGGCATTAGGGAACGTTCATAAAATGCAAACCACTCTAAAAGCAAGAATTGAGAGCAGGAGTGCAATTAGAGTGCAAGAGAAGAAACTGAAGGAAGGTCATTGATACAGTTAATATCAGGACTGAAGGAAGGTCATAGATAGAGACAATGAACAGTAGTGGGAGAGGGAGGGAAGAGGAAGGAAGGTAATAATAAAGAAAAAGTACTCTCAAGTTGTAGTAGTATGTTGCAGAAGAGTAATGAAGCCTTAGAAAAGCCTCACCTTTTTGTAGAAAGCAGTGAGCAACGAGGATTTACTCATCGCACCAGCCTGAATGTCTACTAGTTTTACCAAATGGAGTTTCTGTTTTACTGTGATGACTTCCGATGAAAAATTGTCACCTTGCATCGATATAGAATTTTCAAAACATCTGCGCGTAGATTTCAGCATTATACAGCTTAGCTCTGGAGTTCCTCATCCCCTTGTAAAGCACACATAGCATAGGCTCAGAACTCCTCTTCCTCGCCCCGCTCTCCTGCCACTTTTAAAGCGTTTTGTACTTTTGAATGCCCCGTAATGCTTCCGATTCACTGCAGTATATTTCAAGATTTTTTAGCGTTAAGATGTTTGGAGGGATTAAAAAGCTACCATTTCCTGAGAAAACGTCTATACGTTTAATCTACAATGAAATTTGTAATTTGCAACCGATTGGAAATTTCCTGCTAGCATGGTAAATCCGGATGGGAAAGAAAACAGCAATAATCGCTGAAAATTAGATGAAAATTGACTACTTGGACCACTCTGTTGACTCTGAAATAGACCTCACACATATTCTATGAAGTTTGAAAAACCTGCTTTTGCCCCTCATAAAAAAAGGAAGACGGTTTCCACAATTTCCACCTTTATCAAACTTAACACTTAAATGTACTTTCCTTGACTCTGACAATTTTTTTTCTCCCCTTAAAAATATTCCAGGACTTTTATTGAGCACAAAATCAATTTTGTGTTTAAAAGTTTTTAAGGAATTCCAAACTAATAATAATGTAATTGGATGTAAACGGCATCTAAGATACTTTTTGCAGAAAGGGAACAGTAAAAACTTTAATATAAAGTTAATAAAATAAAGAAAATAGATCAAATCATTACGCGGTAATTTATCAGCATCCCAAATTATGATTGTGTTATCAACAGAGCATGTGGCTAACCACACATCATGAGGTGACCAGGCTAAATCTAAGACATCTCCATTATGGCCTCGTAAAGTAGATATGCAGCGCCAAGATTCTGCATTCATCTTCCCACCACTCCCAAAAGCAGGATTACTCCCTGAAACCGGTATAAAGAAGATGAGAGCTAGGGGAATTAGAAAAGAAATATAACACCCATATGCTGCACTATGGTCTGGGAGTGCCAAATTGTGGCCATAAATCAGGAAATCATCAGAATATCGTGAAATTTGGTACACCCATGGTTTTTGGGTAGCTGAGTTCAAATATGCCCTTAGTTATACGCAATTCTGAAATCCAAGATGGCGACCAGAGACGAGAGACCCTTCACTAGTATCTTGGCCATGGTGGAAGCTTTTACTTTCGGGACTTCAGCATTCTACTGTTGACTTACCAACATGGTTGATGTTTAACAACGTGTTGGCAGTTCCGTTTCGCAAACAAGCCGAAAATGGCCGAGGTTTTGGAAACTTATTTGACTCATGACGTCACCCGAAGCTCATCATCCACCATGTAGGTAGGTCAACAGCCGAAATTAGGATGATGACTGTTGCTCCCTTATAATTGTCTATAAGGAACTGTTGAATCCCCGAAATTAAAAGCTTCCACCTGTCGCTAAGAGGCTAGTGGAGGGTCTCTTGTCTCTGATGACGACAGACCCATGGAACCAAAAAAAAAAAACTGAGGAAAAAACCGGCGCTCCGCTTCGTTCCGCGCCTGTTTTTGGGGGGGCCCGCCCCCAAGCCCCCCAGGACGCGCGCGTTTTTTATTTTGAGTGTCTGGCCTCAGTTGTTCCGTCTTTTAAGTGACCCGCGCTTCCACCGCGGGAAGAGTGTATTTTCCAAAGACATAAAGACGGAGGGCTAAAAGCAAAAAATGAAGCTTCTTTTCAACCACCTCTACTATTGGCTAGAGGATTGGCGGCGAAATCGGGACAAGTTTGATATTCAAAAGTAGGGCGGGAACTAAATAAAATTGCGGAAACAAAGTATTGTAGGTTGATTTTTGCCCAAATTCACTTACCCACTCATAATTCTTTAACTTTAGGTTAGCTTTGGTCCGTCGTCGACCGATTAATTTCATTTGGGAGTAACGTTCATCTAGAACTTTAACGGCCTGTTCGAACCTGCAGAACCACCATGAGCAGAAGAAAAACTAACTTTATCTGAGATTACTGCCTGTTACAGAGCAAAAGTAGGTGTAGTATAGTAGGACGCAGTCCCAACTTTCTTAACATATTCGTTTTAGGCATTTAAAATACGTTTCGAAGAAGAAATGTGGAAAAATCAAGAGGACAAGTTCAAATCAAATTTCCGTTTGCCGCCATGGATTCCCGCGCTCATTTACACACTCACACAAGCACCCAGCGCCAAACCAGGCTTCACTTCTTCCCCGTGCTTTAGATACGAGCACTTCGTCTTTATGTCTTTGGTATTTTCCGAAGGGAGGGGCGGGGGCGGAGAGTTATCAATATTTGGAGGTTGGATTTACGTTTACACTGTTGGAGGCATTGATTATTCGAATAAGGACTTCATGTCGCTAGATGTAATGTCCTCATGATGTCAGATGTCAGATGTCATCCTCATGTAATGTCTGATATGAAAAAATGTCAACAAACGCTGTGGCAAGCTTGAATGACGATGGATGAATCTCCATAACCCACTGTGCGACAACATTGCCGTCTTGTCCACCAATTATCAGTCTGTAACCCACTGTGCGACTATATAGCCATCGTGTCCACCAATTATCAGTTCGCGACCTACTGTACGACAACATTGCCGTCTTATTCACCAATTTTCAGTTCGTGACCCACTGTGCGACAACATTGCCGTCTTGTCCACCAACTTTCAGTTAGTGATCCACTGTGCGACAACATTGCCGCCTTGTCCACCAACTTAGTTCGTGACCCACTGTGCGACAACATTGCCGTCTTGTCCACCAATTTAAAGGTCGTGACCCACTCTGCGGCTTCCCTCCTCTTTTGCCGCACACCCCCCGCCTAAAACTTTCAAAGCTCGCCATTTTTAAACGGCTCGACCGATTTCGCTCAAATTCATTACCAGCCTAGAACTAAGTAAGATCTTCCTTCTGTAAAAATTTCGGGGGGGGGGGAGCTTTTAATTTGCGCGAGTTATTGCGCCCACAAAATTGAACCTCCCCCGCACTTTTCGCCCCCACCATTCATAATGTAATACTTCGATCTCCGTTTTTTTTCGCAGAATGGTAGTCCTGTTCCTCTACTGTACATCGCAAAAAGTTTCACCCGGAAATTTTTTAAAATGAGGGAAATATAACCCAGCAAAAATTGGAATTGTCCAGTCATTCTAGCCAAAAAAAGGGCCTAACCTCGGACAAATTAGCACAAACTTCTCTTATGAAGCGCTCCAAAACATGTCTGGAGCCCCCCAAAAAAAGTTTACCATTAGCCCCCCTCGAGAACACAGTCAAAATTGCTTATAACAAAATGGCGGCCGTCTAAAATTACGTATAAATTGATAGTTGACTTCGTCAGTGTTTCCCCGATTTTGCGTGATTCTAGTGCATCCAATGAAAAAAATCATTCTTGTCATTTTTTTAGAGTATAAAATTCTGCTTACAAACATATATAAGTTTTTTTTAATTTTGACTTGTTGGTGCCGAGCTACGAAGTCAGACACCGAAAAAAAAGGCTAGAATTTTCTTGAAATTTCAAGTTTCGTTTGTAACTTTTAAGATACAGCTTTGGCAGAAATTCTTCTCTCAAAACTGTTGGCACCAATGGAAAGAGCGTGAAATTTTCTTTTCAAAACACATATTACATCAAAATTTAACTGAAGGTATAAGACCTTTATAGGGCCTTTATGGAATGNGGGGGGGGGGGGGGGGATATCTGATCCGTTCACTGTTTGGACTATCGCAGCTAAAGATTCTAAGAAAAAAACGGCAAAACACCTATTTGTCTGCAGATTTTCATGAAATTTGGTGTATCCCGGTATGTCGACCTAGGAAATTCGAATTTGACGTTACTTTCAGTCTAAATCAAAATTCAAGATGGCGGAAAAAAGATGGCGGCAATAATTTGTTAGATACCTGTTTATCGACTGATTTGCATGAAACTTAGTATAACCTTGTATTTAGCCCTATAAAATTTGAATTTGATGTCGAATTTAACCAGAATTAAAATCAAAGATGGTGGGTAAGGTTAGGTTAGGTGTGCTGGTGGCTATAATTTTTTAAAATTAAAGATGGCGGGTACTATTTAAAAACTACCAATTTATCGGCAGATTTTCATGAAACTCGGTGTATCCTAGTATTTTGATCTGGAAAATTCGAATTTGACGTTACTTACAGTCTGAATCAAAATTCAAGATGGTGGAAAAAAGATGGCGGCCTTAATTTTTAAAATATCTGTTTATCGGCAAATATTCATGACATGGAATACTACCTAGTATTTTGACCAAAGTTTGTCAGTTTCGGTTTAAAAATCTATAATATAAGGTAATAAGACTGGGTAAAAAAGTAATTGAGGGGCTCGGAGGACAAGGCACATAAGTGCAGATTTCGAAAAAAATGACACATTAGTGGTTCCAACTAATTCTAGGTTTAAAATGAAGTCTGTGAAAAATTCACCGGAAGCATCCAATGCTTAAGCATCAAAATGTGAGTTTGAACTCTCTTCCTGCCATAAGGCTGTGTATAATTGTTAGCAACTTTAAACATGTTATTCTCGAAATAGCACTTATGCGCCTCGTCCTCCAAGCTGTTTAATGGAGAGTATAAGTGTTAAAATGCAATTGTTTTAGTATCGTCAAATATTTAACTGACACAGATTAAGAAATATAAAGCCGAGTAATGAAATAAAATATGTACTAATTTCTTACTCGGTCTATTGAAAGCTAAATAATATTAAATAATGTGCGAAATGATGTCGCATATTCGGCTGACAAAATGCCGAGGGCAGTAAAATTTTAATGTTTTTATTATTTTCCTTCTTATTTACTTAGATTTCACCATTTCACACGAGCCTGCGGTACGTCACGTAAAGCATAGGTGCAAACCCCTCTTTCCTGTTGACAACCCCGCCCCCCACTGACATCTGTATTTTCGTTATAATCCTTGTTCAAGCTTACGCTACAGTTGGCCGAGCAAAAGTTCCAAACCTTCAATGGTGTATTGAATTTATCATAATAATTGTTATTAGTTTACTATTGATTCCTCCGATGCAAAAAGACCCGCTCCCCGAGCTGCCGCCATTACACAGCCCAATCCCTCACGTAAAGCGCTTCGCGGCGCGGCGGCTGTGCTCGCATCGTAACTTCCCTCATATGTGCGATGTCCCATTCCGCAATGTTTTTAAAAACCCTTGAATGTGCAGATTTCGCCAAGCTCTGTCCTATTCGTATACTTTCATGTGAGTGTATGCATGAATACGATGAAAATTGTCTTCACTTTGTATGCGTGAAGTATCCGTTAGTTCCTTACTGGCGGTCATATATCCATTTGCGCTCTTTGTAGAAAGCAGGGAGGAAGGGGTGGGTCAGTTTCCCCTCCTATTATTTATTTTATATTACGTTAATTCATTTTTGCTCTCCAGAAATGATTTAAATAACTTCTCACCATTGATGGAATATTTGCCGTATTGATATGACCTTTTCAGGGATGGTGTTTTGCATAGAAACTCAACTTTCTGTAAATATTGCCATTTTTTACAATTTTAAATAATGCCGTGTCAAACCCAAAAATTATGGAAATTTTTGGAACAAGGTACCCTCTCTTATTGAAAATTTTATGTATTTTTACGTGGTCACAGTGGTTTTTTGATCAAACACTTTTAAAATGCTTAAAAATTAGGAAAATGGTACCCTCTCTTATTGTAAATTTTATGTGCTTTTACGTGGTCACAGTGGTTTTTTGATCAAACACTTTTAAAATGCTTAAAAATTAGGAAAATGGAGCCAAAAACGGTCTTTGTTTAGAAAAATGTCATTTTTGATCCCAGAAAAATTATCCTACCGGCAAATATAATTACTTAAAAGGATGTTGAACACACCATTCTAGACCAAAATTTAACGTACTTTTTAGTTACATCATTTATTTTAACTTTAAAGCTCATTTTAAAGC